ACCGAAAAGTTGGTAGCAGGTGTATTATTTTTATTACCTTTGTATGGGTGAATTTTTTGGGAAATTGGGTGCGTAATTTTCAGCTTTTTATGAGGAGAGATGTTCGACATCTGAAATGTGCATTTATTTGGTTGTGGAGGTTTTTCAGCTAAGATTAAATTCGAATCTACAGCACTCGAGACGTTTGGTATGGAGCATATTCTTCCAGTTGTGGTATTTGCTATTGAGTAACTGGACTTCTATTTGAAAATGTTCATGTGCTAGTAGATGTAGTACTTGTTAACATTGCCATCAAGTCTCTACCGTAATTTTCGAGTCGAGTTGTGTTTTGTATGTCTTTGGCCATTCTGGCCCGCAGTTCTGCAGCTGCTGGTCCATCTATTTTTCTCAATTTCGCTTGCTCAGCCAGCTTATCGCTAGGCTAGTGGTGATCAGGTGGGTCTCCATCCATTTTTGGGCAATTCACAAAGTTTATTTGCTAAAATTTGAGATCGCCCAACATCAAGGTTTATTTTCTGTTTAGAAAGCTAAGTTTTTATTGTCCCTCGTTTGCGACTGCGCGCAAAGCGAGTTCACTAGTCTTGCCCGTTGGACAAAAGTTTACTCTGTTTACTCTTTCTGTATGTCTAGCCATCTGGTTACCGTCTGGTGTGTGCCAATCCTGGCCATTGCGGCCGTTATTGACTCGATCCTGACGTTGTTGAAGGCCCATTCTATATCTAGGAAGGCCGCCAAGGCATATTCCTTATGGCTTAGAGTCTTTTCGATATGCCCAACAACTTCGTGTAGTGCGGTCTCAACTGATCTACCTTTGAGGTAGGCGTGCTGAGCTCCACTGAACACGTGTTTGTCTAGCTTGGTTCTAATATATAGATCATTTAGTCGCTCCATCGTTTTTAGTAAAAATGAGGACAGACTGATGGGTCTATAGTCCTTTGGGGAGATATGGCTTATGATCATCAGTGTTGTTGGTGGCGTTGGATTCGTCCCCGGTGACATCTGAGCAACCCGGGAAGTGAGTACTCATGAGGAGCTCCAGGGATTCTTGGCTGCTCTCTGCGAAGGTACCGTCCTGGCTGCGGAGCAGGCCTGGTATGGTGGTATCTTACAATTTGTTGGATGGCTTCATTCGAAAGTTTGCTTTGTGCCACGAATGCGATAACCCGGAAACTAATCTGACCGTTTCAGCTAAGAACCAGACAATCTCGCAGTCTTGCAAGGCATGCGGCTTCCATGGTCAGCTTAAGGTGAACCACAAAGTGAACACATTTATTGTGATAATTCCACCATCACTTAATCCAGCCGCTCAGGGCTCTTCGCTCACTAGGGGAAACGCTCAAAGAACCAGAAACAGAAGAACGAAAACTCTGATGGATCAATGGGTAAGAACTTAATAGCCAACAACTCTGCCGGAGAGTCAGATGGCGGCAATGGCCCCAACCAGGCCATCCAAAGAGAGGCGCGGCCATTCCGGAAAAAAATATATAGCTGGCTGGAGCGTCGACGTATCTAAGGTAATCAATTTTAATTGTTTCTAACCGAACTAATGCTGCCACTAAAAAATCTATATATTTCATAATCCATTTAATTAATTTATAATTTATTTATTTAAGGGCATGATAATTTCGGAGGACTACGACAAGGCCAAAAAGTAACGCATTGATATCTTCTATGCATTGGTAAAAAACAAGCGTGACAAAAGACAGCTGGACGATGTTGCTATACTGCAGGACAGTTGCAGAGAAGGTGCTGGATGCTCTCTATTTCCTCCTCGTCCCTGCAGCTGCGGCAGAAGTCATGGTGGGGTAGTCCGTACCTTGTGACCATGCGGCCAATGACACAGTGCCCCGTTATGACTCCTGTCAATGTTCGCACCCGACTCTTCCTGAAGCTTAGGAGAGTCTTGGTGCGTTTAAAGTCGTAGTGGGGCCAAAGCGAGCGAGAGATCTCACAGTTTTGTGTGGTGTTCCACCGCCCGTCCGATCTCGTTCTTGCTCGGCCCATCATCTGCGAGATGATGATCTTAGTGGCCTCCGTATGTCGCTGACTGCGTCCGCCATTGGCTTGGCCGATCCAGCTCTGTCACACTCGTCCACACTCTCGTTGCCCGCTATGTCGGTATGACCCGGAACACACGTGATTGTGATTGAGTGCGCGCTTATCTGGTTTAGCGCGTTAACCGTGTCACGTACGAGTCTGCTTGTGGTCTTGCAGGATACCAAGGCTTTGATGGCAGCCTGACTGTCGACGCAGATTGCTATGTTCCTCGGAGGTATCTCCAAGGTGTATACCAACTTAGCCGCTTGCCATACTGCATATATCTCCGCCTGGAATACACTGCACCAGTCTGGTAGTCTTATGGATGTGTTGGTTGCTAGTTCCTCAGAGAAGATTCCAGCTCCTGTCCCTTCGGCCGTTTTTGACCCGTCAGTGAAAATGGAGAGCTCGTTCTGCCCCAGGGCCGTGTTACTTTTCTATTTCTCCTTGTCCGGTATGTTTCCTTTCCTTCTTTTCCATGAGAACTCTGAAACACAGTAGTCACTCCCCCCGGCCGTTCCACCTTCCTCCTCACGGAGTATAGTGACGTTACCATAAGGCGATGGCTTGAAGAACTGCGCGGCTAGTAGCCTAGCTGCACTTATCTCAGCCTTCCACTAAAGATGGAGGTCTATCGGTTCCAGGCCTAGCATGGTGTCCAGAGCTGCCTGTGGGGTGGACTTGATAGATCCGGCGACTCCAAGATCCAACTGCACCCAAGTCCGTTGGACTCTACGGAGGTTCTCCAGGTGGGATTTGGTGTTAACCGCTTCCCCATACCATGCCTCCGTATGTCAGGATGGGTCTTATTATCGCTGTATACATCCAGTGGATGATGTGCGGCTGTAAGACCCATGTTCGTCCAAAAGTCTTCCTACAGGTGTAGAAAGCTGCCATTGCCTTTTTCTTCCTTTCCTTCATGTTTCTCTTCCAGGAGAGTTTGGAGTCAAGGATGACACCAAGATACTTGGCTTCGCTTGATAGCTCGAGTGTCGTTCCACCAATTGCTGGTAGTTGGAATCTCGGTACTTTATATCTTCTTGAGAACAGCACTAGTTCTGTTTTTTGAGGATTGACCCCCAAACCGTTCTGCCGAGCCCAGCTGGCGGTGGTGCCCAGTGCGGATTCTAGAAGGTCACTGATTGTGGGCAGAAATTTACCCGTTACCAGTACTACTAGATCATCCGCATAGGCCGTGGCCTTATACCCGCTCCTCCCCAGCTGAAGAAGAAGGTCGTTGAGGACAAGGTTCCACAGGAGAGGGGATATAACTCCTCCCTGCGGAGTGCCTAGTGTAACCGTCCTTCTTGACGAGGAGGAGCCCAGGTTGGCGCTTATCGTTCTGCTCCTGAGAACGCTGTCTAGCCATCTGGTTACCGTCGGGTGTGTGCCAATCCTGGCCATTGCGGCCGTTATTGACTCGATCCTGACGTTGTTGAAGGCCCATTCTATATCTAGGAAGGCCGCCAAGGCATATTCCTTATGGCTTAGAGTCTTTTCGATATGCCCAACAACTTCGTGTAGTGCGGTCTCAACTGATCTACCTTTGAGGTAGGCGTGCTGAGCTCCACTGAACACGTGTTTGTCTAGCTTGGTTCTAATATATAGATCATTTAGTCGCTCCATCGTTTTTAGTAAAAATGAGGACAGACTGATGCGTCTATAGTCCTTTGGGGAGATGTGGCTTGTCTTCCCTGCCTTGGGGATGAAGACCACTCTCACCTCCCTCCACCCACGGGCGACGTACCCAGTGCGGTGGCATCCTTTGGAAATTTTCTTCAGCCATGGTAGTAGGTGCAGGAACGCTACTTGCAGCATGGCTGGTCGGATGTCATCCGGTCCCGGTGACTTGTAGGGACTGAATGATTTAATGGCCCAGATAATCTTGTCTGGTACCATTATATCTCGTATGAGTTCCTCGATTTCCTCCCCTTGATGATCATCAGTGTTGTTGGTGGCGTTGGATTCGTCCCCGGTGACATCTGAGCAACCCGGGAAGTGAGTACTCATGAGGAGCTCCAAGGATTCTTGGGTGCTCTCTGCGAAGGTACCGTCCTGGCTGCGGAGCAGGCCTGGTATGGTGGTATCTTACAATTTGTTGGATGGCTTCATTCGAAAGTTTGCTTTATGCCACGAATGCGATAGCCCGGAAACTAATCTGACCGTTTCAGCTAAGAACCAGACAATCTCGCAGTCTTGCAAGGCATGCGGCTTCCATGGTCAGCTTAAGGTGAACCACAAAGTGAACACATTTATTGTGAAAAATCCACCATCACTTAATCCAGCCGCTCAGGGCTCTTCGCTCACTGAGGGGAAACGCTCAAAGAACCAGAAAAAGAAGAAAGAAAACTCTTAAGGATCAATGGGTAAGATGGCGGCAATGGCCCCAGCCAGGCCATCCAAACAGAGGCTGAAATAAGCGCGGCTGCAGCGTCGACGTATCTAAGGTAATAAATTTTAATTGTTTCTAACCGAACTAATGCTGCCACTAAAAAATCTATATATCATAATTTATTTAATCTACACTATAAGTTTGTAGAAAAAAATCTGTGTGTAAGCGGCTTTCTCCGCAGCGCGTGCACCAAATTGCATGCTGTTTTTTTTTAAATGATAGCCAGAGAATGGGACCTGGTTTGCACAAGCAAATTTGTACTTTTCTATAAAAAGGTTGCTCAAGAATTAAAAATGAATAAAAAAAATCTTAAATTTGGTCCAAAAGTGTGTGTTTGAACGCCTGGTTCATTTCATTTCATTTCTCCGCAACGCGTGCACCAAATTGCATGCGTTTTTTTTTCAGTTTTCACTTTTCTATAAATAAGTTCCACAAAAATTAAAAATTAATCAAAAAAAAAATCTCAAATTTGGTCTAAAAACGTGTGTTGGAACGCCTATTTCATTTCATTTTGTGTCATTCTGTAGAACAGAACATTTGATGATAAATTTTGTTTTTTATAACTTTTTGTGTGAAAATTTGTTTTCTGAAAAAATTGCAATTTGTGTAAGTATATTTGTTGCTTTTAAAAATGTGTGCGTTTTAAACCAACCTGTGTGGTTTTTAAAGTTAAATGTCGAGACGATTAAATTTGGATCGGCGAACGCGAAATTCGTTTCAAGTTGTGGCTTCAAGGAGCCGTGAAAGTAGCCAAGACATTACACATCGCAATAAAAATAATCGTCTACGCACAACAAGGTCCCGTTCAAATCAACGGAACAATGGTGCAACAACAACTGCAAATGAACGTCGTGATATTCAAAATCTACAAGGTGTTGCGTTTGCTCACAGTAATATCACCAATCACGCTTCTCATAGGCAAATTAAAATTGGTCCAATGAACGACCGTTGTCGCCATTGTCAGGCATTAAAATTTAAAGGTGAAGCAGATGGGATGTGCTGTGCGAGTGGTAAAGTGAAATTGCCTGAATTAGGCAGCCCAACACAACCATTGAGCACATTACTTAATGGATTGACACCTGAGTCTAATCATTTTTTGAACAATATACGAAAGTATAATTCGAGTTTTCAAATGACATCTTTTGGCGCCACAAATATTATAAGAGACAACTTCATGCAAACATTCAAGGTAATTAAATAGTTTTTTTTATGCAAATTGTACGTTTGTTCTCATTCAATCATATATTTTATTCAGATTCAAGGTCAAATATATCATCGAGCTGGCTCTTTGTTACCTTTCGACAACGCAGACCACCAATTTTTGCAATTATATTTTATCGGGAACGCGGAAGACGAAGCTGATCGTCGGTGTGCCATAATTACCAACACGCGAAGACAAATTATTTTCGATTTGCAAAATATGTTCCATGAGCACAACGAATTGGTTCAGGTTTTCAAAACATCGCTTGATCGAATGCCATCTGACGATCATAAAATTGTTATTCGAGCTGATAAAACACCGGTTGGCGAACATGCAAGGCGTTTCAATGAAAAAACAGTTGACGAAGTGGCAATAGTCATAGTTGGTGAGCAATTTAATAATCGTGATATTGTGCTTCACCGTAGAAATGAACAACTTGAACGTTTATCCGAGACTCATCGCTGTTATGATGCACTACAATATCCCATATTGTTTTGGAGCGGACAAGATGGCTATAATTTCAACATTAAAATGATAAATCCAGTAAACGGTCGAGAAGGAACAAAGAAAGTTAGTGCTATGAATTATTACGCATACATATTGAGGTGTAGAGCACTTTTCCACCAGTATATTGTTGACATGTATGCAAAAATTGAATCGGAGCGGTTAAATTTTCTTCGATTCAACCAAGCCAAATTACGTTCCGAAGAGTATGTTCATTTGCGTGATGCCATTAACAACGATGGTAATGCACAAAACGTTGGAACTATGATAATATTACCATCATCGTATGTTGGAAGTCCACGTCATATGTTTGAGTACGCGCAAGATGCGATGTCATACGTTCGCCGTTACGGTCGACCAGACCTCTTCATCACCTTCGTGTGTAATCCGCAATGGGAAGAAATCTTGGAATTATTATTTGTTGGCCAAACATTGAAAGATCGCCATGATATTTTAGCACATGTTTTTAGACAAAAATTGAAATCACTCATGGATTTAATTGTCAAACACGGTGCATTTGGGTCTGTTCAATGTTGGATGTGTTCAATTGAATGGCAGAAACGAGGTTTGCCTCATGCGCATATTTTAATTTGGCTGATTGAAAAAATAAGGCCGAATCAAATTAACGATGTGATTTCGGCAGAAATTCCAGATCCGACAGTGGATCCTGAATTGTTTGAAGTGGTCACCAAAAATATGATTCACGGTCCATGTGGTGCGTTGAATTTGAATTCACCCTGTATGGTTGAAGGGAAATGCTCCAAACGTATTCTTGGCATGTATTTTTAGTTTTAGATAGACGCATTAATTAGGAGTTGTTTAAGGCATGAAAAAAATACCAGATTTTAAAAATTCTTTAAAAAAAATCACACCATAAAAAAAATTAAGTACTAAAAATATTTTTAAGTCCCGAAATCGATCAGAAAAAGTCATTTTGGTCCACAGCCTAAAGAAAAAGTTCAATTTCGTTGAGTAGTGTAATCATTGTTTAATTTCGATTAATTCCTAAACATTCAATGCATTTTGTAAGCAGCGAAGCGCGCGGGTCTGCTAGTTAATTTATAATTTGTTTTTTTTAAGGGCATGATAATTTCGGAAGACTACGACAAGGCCAAAAAGTAACGCATTGATATCTTCTATGAATTGGTAAAAAACAAGCGTGACAAAAGACAGCTGGACGATGTTGCTATACACAAAGAGCTTCTAATCAAAGCAGAACGATTGGATATAGTTAACAAATCCCCGCTGTTTCTCGCTAAGCTTTTATTTACTGAGAACTTTATTAATGACGTTCGCAAAAACCGCTTCTTGTTACTTCACTTTACTCATAATAATCCAAAAGCACAGCGCTATTTATTTGGCGGCATCGAGCAGACTGTCGAGCTTTATACGAACACGTTAATGAGCAGGGTCACCGGGATATTCAAAATCTTTTACGATTTGGACATACTCGATGAAAAGGTCATTCTGGACTGGGCACAGAAAGTAAGCAAACGACATGCTTCCAAGAAAATTGCCACCGAGATTTATGAGAAGGTAAAGCCATTTGTACAGTGGCTCAAAGATGCCGAGGAAGAAGATTCCTCCTCTGGAGACGATGACGGTGCTGCTGGCGATGCTGCTGGCGATGCTCGGGCCCGCATTGAACCATTGAAGCTGGCCCTAGCCATGGAACGTGGCCTTGGCGTTCTTACGTCTAGTAAGAAAGTCCAAAAGGATGAGGAGGCGGATGAAATTGATATAGTCGACATATAGTCAACCAAAAACTATCAACGAACAATGTTTTTGGAAATGGAATCGCCATTGTCCTGTGCTTTTAAGAAAGTCATGTCTGGACGTTGATATGCAATGACTACACCATCATGTGGCCCATGCGACACCAAGCCGAAGCCTGTTATGCGCGGAACCCAGGCAGAAACGCAGACCTCCTCCCGCCCAACCGACCGAGGGGCGCTGCCGCATGACGCGCGACGCGTGCTACCGAACCGATCGCGAGCATGCAGGAAAGATAGGTGTTAGACTAAAATTCGAGGAAAATTAGAGTTAAACACAACTCAATGGGCCAAACATGCAAATATAGCTAAGAAATAGTACTAATTACGGGAAAGGTATGTAAGTATTAGTGATTTAAGGAGAGGAAGGGAATTAGTAGTTGATATTATGTGGTAGAGGGAATTGAAGTCCGAGCAAAGTACCCTAAATGGTTCGTGCAAGGAATAATTCGATCTACAAAGCGAAAGGAACAAAGGAATGAAGTTTCTAGTAGATCTAATAGGAATCGTAAAGTTTATGCATCTCAACAAGTCAGGGCTATCTACGTCACCCTTGATCAGGTTGTGCATAAAAATCACACCAACCATTTTTCTACGACTAACTAAGGTTGAAAGGTTTATTAAAAGCAATCTACGAGGGTAAGATGGCAGTCTCAAACCTGCATCCCAGTTAATGCCACGCAGGGCAAAAAGTAAAAAGTTTTTCTGGACTGATTCTCTACGGTCCTGGTGTACTTTGTACTGGGGGCACCATACACCATACACATACACCATAATCTAAAATCGGACGAACAAGCGAGATATAGAGAGTCTTCGTTATATAGGGGTCGTCAAATTCCTTTGACCACCTCTTTATAAACCCAAGCACACCCATGGCCTTATTTACCATGTTCAGAAAACTTTCACTTTGGGCCTAATTTAACACCAAGATCATCAACCAAGATAATTCTCTCAAGATAACCACAGCAAAGGCTATAAGGAGCCAAAAGGGGGCTGGATCGATGAAATGTCATTATTTTGCATTTCGAGGCATTTAGGTGTAACATATTTGCACAACACCATGACTGAATGTTATTGAGATCGGATTGCAAGCGAGAGTGAAATGAAATGTCCTTATACTGGACACAAAGTTTAACATCATCCGCATACATGAGTAGTCGAGAGTTTGTTAATACTGAAGGCAGATCAGGTAAGCTCTAATAAATTTGTAGTTGTTGATCGTCGCCTTATAAATCCGTGCTAGGACGGAGATATAAGTGATCTGCAGAGATGTTGCAAATGCAGAGCTAAAATTTTTTCAAACATTTTAGGAATAGCGCATAACTTAGATATACCTCTATAATTATTTGCCACAGACTTGCTACCTTTCTTATGGAGCGGAATAATAAAAGATTCCTTCCAGATGGTGGGGAAGCATGAAGAGTTAATGGATAGATTGAATAGTTTAAACAAGGGTCCACACAGAGCGGCACAGTACCTAAGTACACAGCCGGGAACTCCGTCGGGACCTGGTGAAAACACCGGCTAAACTAGTCGAAGATCATGCAGAAGTGAGCTTTCATTTAACAAGGGGCTGAAGATGCCATTTGACCTTGGTAAACTGTATGGATACGGCTGACCAGAGTAGCTTTCATGAGAATAGGTTGTTTGGAAAAATTTGGCAAAAAGATCGGCAATTGCCTGATCATTGTTTGCTGACATATTGAGAAATGATAGCGAGGATGGATGTGCGGACGTTCTACGCTTACTATTTACGAAGCTGTAAAACTGTTTAGGGTCCTGTTAAAATCGTATCCTGCATCGAGATAGGTAGTTTTTATAGCATTGAGCGTTAAGAACGGAGAAATTTGACCGAGCTATTACATAGTGAGAAAGAGGGAGAACCAACTTCTCGAAATTTTTTATAAAGTCTTGCTTTTAAGTTTGTTAGACTGGATAACTCTTTGGTAAACTAAGGAGGCTTTCCAGATCTAACCGGACAAGAAAGTGGGACACAAGAATCAAAAAATGTGTCAAGTACAAGTACGTCAGTGCACAAATACAGAGCGGACCAATCAAAATCACTAATGAGGTTATTAAGAACCGTAAGAACTATTAAGATGTTTCTTTCCTTTGATTTACAGCCTTGCTATATTTCACCCACACTCGTCACGGGATAATGTCCGGTGCCTAGGGAGGTTTCGCGAACCATCCCGAGGCCTCTATAAAGAGCACAAGTTTCACTGGAGGCATGTTTGCCAGGCTGTCCAGGTCTTCGTAGAAGGCGCCGCCGAGTGTTCGGTGACGCCTACCCATAAGTGCAGGACAGTTGCAGAGAAGGTGCTGGATGCTCTCTATTTCCTCCTCGTCCCTGCAGCTGCGGCAGAAGTCATGGTGGGGTAGTCCGTACCTTGTGACCATGCGGCCAATGACACAGTGCCCCGTTATGACTCCCGTCAGTGTTCGCACCCGACTCTTCCTGAAGCTTAGGAGAGTCTTGGTGCGTTTAGGGTCATAGTGGGGCCAAAGCGAGCGAGAGATCTCACAGTTGGGTGTGGTGTTCCACCGCCCGTCCGATCTCGTTCTTGCTCGGCCCATCATCTGCGAGATGATGATCTTAGTGGCCTCCGTATGTCGCTGACTGCGTCCGCCATTGGCTTGGCCGATCCAGCTCTGTCACACTCGTCCACACTCTCGTTGCCCGCTATGTCGGTATGACCCAGAACACACGTGAGTGTGATTGAGTGCGCGCTTATCTGGTTTAGCGCGTTAACCGTGTCACGTACGAGTCTGCTTGTGGTCTTGCAGGATACCAAGGCTTTGATGGCAGCCTGACTGTCGACGCAGATTGCTATGTTCCTCGGAGGTATCTCCAAGGTGTATACCAACTTAGCCGCTTGCCATACTGCATATATCTCCGCCTGGAATACACTGCACCAGTCTGGTAGTCTTAGGGATGTGTTGGTTGCTAGTTCCTCAGAGAAGATTCCAGCTCCTGTCCCTTCGGCCGTCTTTGACCCGTCAGTGAAAATGGAGAGCTCGTTCTGCCCCAGGGCCGCGTTACTCTTCTATTTCTCCTTGTCCGGTATGTTTCCTTTCCTTCTTTTCCATGAGAACTCTGAAACACAGTAGTCACTCCCCCCGGCCGTTCCACCTTCCTCCTCACGGAGTATAGTGACGTGACCATAAGGCGATGGCTTGAAGAACTGCGCGGCTAGTAGCATAGCTGCACTTATCTCAGCCTTGCACTAAAGATGGAGGTCTATCGGTTCCAGGCCTAGCATGGTGTCCAGAGCTGCCTGTGGGGTGGACTTGAGAGATCCGGCGACCCCAAGGTCCAACTGCACCCAAGTCCGTTGGACTCTACGGAGGTTCTCCAGGTGGGATTTGGTGTTAACCGCTTCCCCATACCATGCCACCGTATGTCAGGATGGGTCTTATTACCGCTGTATACATCCAGTGGATGATGTGCGGCTGTAAGACCCATGTTCGTCCAAAAGTCTTCCTACAGGTGTAGAAAGCTGCCATTGCCCTTTTCTTCCTTTCCTTCGTGTTTCTCTTCCAGGAGAGTTTGGAGTCAAAGATGACACCAAGATACTTGGCTTCGCTTGATAGCTCGAGTGTCGTTCCACCAATTGTTGGTAGTTTTAATCTCGGTAATTTATATCTTCGTGAGAACAGCACTAGTTCTGTTTTTTGAGGATTGACCCCCAAACCGTTCTGGCGAGCCCAGCTGGCGGTAGTGCCCAGTGCAGATTCCAGAAGGTCAAAGATTGTGTGCAGGAATTTACCTGTTATCAGTATTACTAGATCATCCGTATAGGCCGTGGCCTTATACCCGCTCCTCCCCAGCTGAAGAAGAAGGTCGTTGAGGACAAGGTTCCTCAGGAGAGGGGATATAACTCCTCCGTGCGGAGTGCCTCCTGTAAGCGTCTTTCTTGACGAGGAGGGGCCTAGATTGGCGCTTATCGTTCTGCTCCTGAGAACGCAGTCGCGTGTGTGCGAATCTTGTCCAGTGCGGCCGTTATTTACTCGATCCTGAAGTACGTTAAGGCATATTCCTTTCGCTAAGAGTCTTTTCGATATTCCCAACAACTTCCTGTGGTGCGGTCTCAATTGATCTACCTTTGAGGTAGGCGTCATGAGCTCCGCTGAACACTTGTTTGTCTAGCTCGGTTCTTATATATAGATCCATTAGTCGTCCCATTGTTTTTAGCAAAAAAGAGGACACACTGATGGGTCTGTAGTCCTTTGGGAAGATGTGGTATATCTTCCCGGCCTTGGGGAGGAACACCACTATCACCTCCCTGGTAGGTGCCTTCGACAGTACACGTCGAAGCCTTGAGGCCTCAGATGTACCATCTATGGCATCGCAGAAGGCTGCCCATGACTCCCTTTTCGCCCTCCTACAGGTGATGTTGTAGGTATTCAAACTTTGGCGATATTCGTCCCAGCTTTCCTGTGTATTTGTCACTTTTGGTTTGTTGAAGACTTGCCGCGATTCCTTTCTGATTTCGCTCAGCTCCCGTGTCCACTACGGGTTGTGATTGGACTTTGGGGGTCGGCTGATCGGGAAGGATTTGTAAAACGCCATCTGTAGAGCATTAGTAACGTTCTGTGCTGCTGCCTCTAGTGTTCCCGTTTGAATAATGCCTCCCTCCGGTGGGTTGGGCAACACCTTCTTTAGAGAAGCGGTTCCAGTCTCTTCGCTAGGGATTGCGGTAGGCCTTGGGCCTCTCCTTTTTTCACTTGATGCTGAACACTAACCTGTAGTAGTCCGAAAAGGAACACTCACTGGACACGTGACAGTCATCGATGGTAAGGGAGTCGCTATTTGAGGCCAGTGTTATATCTGTAACCTCTGCACGGTTCCTGTTGCTGAAGGTGGGGTTGTCTCCCCGGTTGCACACAACAAGATTTGTGAACAGCATGTACTCGAACAGCGACTCTCCTCTAGAATTTGAGCCCGTACTTCCCCAGAAGGAGTGATGGGCATTCGCATCACAGCTAAAGACAATGTCGAGTCCCTCCTTCCGCGCTTGGTGGATCTGGGCCCTGACATCCTCCGAGGGTGGGTCTTCTTCTTTATACGGCAGGTATGCGGAACCTATGTCCCGACCCTCATTAGTTTCCTTAAGTCCTAAACGTAGTCCCTCACCGTTTCTGTTCTGGCCAGTTTGCGATCTGAGACCTGCTTTGCTAAATCCTCCTGGTACCGTAGTTGCATGAAGTTTTCTTTCAGTCTGTCTTTTGCTTCTTCTTATGTGCTGACCGGGGCTGGCTTTATGTGCCACCAGTCCAATGCACTTTCCTCCAGAATGACTGGCATCGCTAAAACCAGGTGATCTAGTTCTATCCCGTAGGTTTCCGCTAATTCCTCCATCCTGCTTATGAATTTAAGCAGTTGTCCTTTTCCTGCAAATCTTAAGTCCCATTTGCGAATTTTGTCGATGTTATCTGTTTCGGAAACAGTGCTTTTTTCCTTGCAGTTTTCGGCTTCGCTTGTGGGTCGTCCTGGTGAGGATTAGAGTTTGGTCACACTCTGGGAGGGAGAGGCATAGTATCGAGCAGAACGAATGGAAAGGTAAATTTTACGTTTGGCACAAGGACCGCTTAAAAATTCTGGTTTGATAGGCCAGGGCTTTCCGAGTTGGACTGCCCCGATTTTATCTGGCGATCCTTCTTTTATTGCCGGCTGCCAGCTGTTTTGTGCCTCGTTAAGGGCATAACGCGTTTTTGGTTTGTCATAACGCGTCCTGGCCCAGCTGTTAATGTGACCGTGAGTCTGTGAGTGTTGGTGAAACTGGTCTTTAGCGAACGCGTTCCTTGTTTGAATTTGAATATTGAATGTTAATTTATTTATTAGTAATTATTTATTATTTATTTAAGGAACTTCAGTTGTTTAGTCGCTTATAGCCTTTTCGCACACAGTACATCTATGAGGAACGGTGGGAATTTTTGACAAATGTGAAACTCCGATTCCCACTGGCACCATCCACCATCCATGGAAAACAGCTGATGACTACATTGTGCTGTCGATTGTGACTTTATAATAATTTAAAATGGACTATTTGACAATTGTTTAAGCCGTGGCTCAACAACAGAACATGTTGTTGCAGAAAATTGTTAGTGGCGTTGGATAGAAAGCAAAGCAATATAGATGAATTCGAGGAGGAAGAGTTCATTGCAATTGTGAAGGGATGGCTTTTGAGTAGCATAGTGGTGTTTATTGGATATAATAAGTTGAACAATATATGTAGACTGAATTAATTGAAAATAAGGTTTTCTTGAACGTGTTTTATCTTGTTCGCTTCGACTTCTTAACTAAGTATCGCCTCTGTTGTTATCGATGGCTAGGGCCTATCGTGCGAATAACAGCCCCCCCATAGAGTGGACCGCTTCTGTTGACTAACAGCTCTTCACAGTCGGCCTTTCCTGAAAAATCGCAGCGTCCTCGCGAGATTCGAAGGGTGAGTCGCCTTCCATGTCGTCATCTTCATCTGGTTCATCGGGTGGGAGTTCGCACCAGCAATTCATTCTGTCAGAATAATACACCGACTTATAGTGCCTTTGCTTTCGTTGGGCATGAGGGATATCTTCTACTAGATATCGGTCGTTTGGCAGCACCTTGCTGATAATAAATGGACCTTTGTAGCGAGGCTCCAATTTGCGTGATGTTCCTGTGCTAAACGGCTCATTCTCGACTAACACAAGATCACCAAGGGTATATACCGTTGGCTTGGAATGTCTAGCATCGTAACGTTTCTTCGCAGCAGCCCTATGATCGTTGACTGTAGTCGCAGCATCTGCTCGTAGCTTTTCCAACTCGTCAGCATCTTCAGATCCGGGCCTTGGATCGCATTTGTCACTGTGTTCTTGAGGATATCTCGTGGCTCATAACCATACAATAGCTGAAATGGGGAACATTTAGTCGTACTATTTACCATGGTGTTGATGCTCCATTGAATTGAGCGTATCTGGTCGTCCCATCGTTTTTCATTTTCATTTGAAGGCAATAACATTGACAAAATAATCCGGTTGGTTCGCTCTGCATGTCCGTTTGCTCTCGGTGTCTTTACAGCATTGAGTATGTGCTTTACATTATTCGACTTACAATACTTCAAAATCCTTTGCAGTAAAAGCTGTACCGCGATCGGTAATGATTCGATCTGGCATTCCTAAGTAGCTGGTTACCTCCTGCAGGATATCAATAACGTGTTTCGTGGCTGTACTTTTTACAGCTCGCACTATGGTAAATTTAGTGAATGCGTCGACAATCACAAGAATGTGCTCATTCCGTTTTGAACTCTTTGGGAAGGGTCCCAGGTGATCCATATGTACGGTCGAAAAAGGGATCGGATGGATGTCATCATAATGGTATTGTCCTTCCTGACGTCCACCTGGTATCTTATACAGCGCACAGCCCACACATGACTTTATGTAGCTTTTAACGTAGTTGCGCATTCGGGGAAACCAAAAAAAATTTAGAATCCGATTAATGGTTTTCTCTGTGCCCATGTGTCCAGCCTTGTCGTGACATTCATGTAAAATATGGAATCTTAGCTGCTTCGGCACAACCCATAGTAGCTTGCCGTCATATTTGCGAAACAGGCGATCTTGCTCGATCACATACTCGTCATTCTCAGATTTCTTATCAATGTTAATCTCAGCGACAATCTTCTGGATTTTCTCATCTTGCAATTGTATGGCAAACAACCAATCAGCCTCGTCGATGATGGTCTTCGAAATTTGCAGGGATGCTGTGTCCATCTCATGTGCATCCTCAAATGGAGCTCGACTTAGCGCGTCAACATGATTCATCTGGGTTCCAGCTCGATGAACAATGTCTATGTCAAATTCTTGTATACGTAGCCACCATCTTGCAATTCGGGGTATAAGCTCTCGTTTCTCCATTGATGTTTTCAGGGCATTACAATCGGTAACGACTTTAATACGCTTACCATAGATGTAATATTTAAATCGCTCCAACGACTCGACGACGGCTAGAGCTTCTAGTTCGTAACTGTGGTAGTTCTTCTCTGCTTTGGACGTTGCTCGGCTATAATAAGCAATTGGCTTCATCTCATCCTTCTGCAGCAATACTCCGGCTAAGCCAACGGCACTGGCATCCGTATGTAGCTCATGCTCAGCATCGAGTCGGTAACTGGTGACAACGGGCTTCGATATTAGGCGTCTCTTTAACTCGTCAAATGCATCCTGTTGTGGCTGTTCCCACTTAAACGTCTGGTCTTTGCGCAACAGGGCACGCAGGGGCATATTCGGCAACAAATTTCCGGAAGTAACCGCTGAGACCCAAGAACTGCCGTACTTCAGTCACATTGCTCGGCCACGAGAACATTGCAATAGCGTTCGTCTTAACCTCTCCAGGACTGATGCCGTCTGCGTGTATCTGATGACCCAGGAATGTAATTGTTTGCTTGAACAATTCACATTTATCCAGATTTAGCGTTAGTCCGCACTCTTGCAATACTTGGAGGATTCGCTCAAGCTTCTCATACATCTCGTCAAACGTCTGACTAGCAATTAAGATGTCGTCCATGTAATGTATCATGTCGCCTTTCTGCACTCGCTTCTGTAATTCTGCCATGAGTCGATTGAATACAGCAGGTGCAGTTTTTAGTCCAAAAGGAAGCCGCTTGAACTCATACAGTCCATCCGTAGTGATGAATGCAGTAAACTTTCTACTTTCCGGTGCTACTTCTATCTGATAATAACCGCTGTTGAGGTTCAGAGAAGAAAAGTATTTAAATCGCTTCGCCTCCTGCAGACGCTCCTCGATGTTCGGTACAGGAAAATTTTCCTTCTTGATCAGTTTATTGAGACGGCGGTAATCAACACAGAGTCGATCACTACCGTTTGGCTTCTTGATGAGCACCACTGGGCTGGCGTACTCTGACGTGGATGGTATGATAATATCCTGCTCCAACAGCTCTTCGACCACACTGCTTACAAATTCCTTTTTTGGCTCGGATACTCGGTATGGCACTTGCGAAACCACTTGGCCACTCTCAACGCTAATGTTGGCTTGAAAGATGTTGGTTTTGCCTATGCCTTGCAGTCCTGTTGAGAAAACATGGTTGAACTTCTCTAGCAAACCGCCCATTTTACTTCTTTCCTGATGTTTCTGTAGATTGACAAGAAGTTTTGTAGTTAGGTTGTTGCTTACAAAGGCTACCGGTTGATGAACTGCACGTTTCACTTCAGTGTCGCCTGGCTCAAACTTCAGCGATAGCTGTCCGCTAATGATGACGTCTTGTCCTAACAGAAAGTCCTCTTTCAGCAGGTCGTCGTCTGCTACGTATACTTTGGCAGTAATCATTTTTCCATCGATGTCCATATCCACAACCATTGCTTCAGTCAGGATACAGGAACCCCCACAAATGCCTCGAATCTTCATAGAGCACTTGTGGCGATCAGCGTTGATTTGTTTGGCAACTGATTGGCGCATGATACTAGCCTGACTTCCAGTATCAATGAAGGCGCTATAGATGTACGACTTTATGTAGATTTTCCTGGTGAATAGCTTTTCGAGATTCGCGGCACCCAAACGCATCATATCTGCCGGTTGGCATTTCTCATTGCGTGCATGAAACTTATTGCAGTTGGTACAACGCGACTTCTTTTTTTCTTGTTGGCATGAACTAGCGAAGTGCCCCAATTCTCCACAATTGTAGCACTTCTGAGCCTCCTTTGGCTTTGTTGGCTTTACGTCGTAATCCTGCTTTGTCTCAAAGTTGCTGCCTTTTGGTACGAACTCCTTTTTGTTTGCGATTGGTCGACCTCTATTTACAAAATACGATTCGGCTGCATCACGAAACTGCTTCATTGACGAAAACTGAATTGCGGCAATACTATTTTGCAATTCTCAATGCTGTATACCTGATCTAACATATCTTACAACAGCTGCTTCACTAAGCTTGTACCGCACGCCAAGGACGGACATCCGGAAACAGTACTCCTTTACTGTCTCCTTTGATCGTCTGGTTGCATTGGCCATATTGAAGTGAACTTCTGCCTCATCTGGGTTAGATCCAAACTCGTCTCTTATAGCTGCAGCGAAGTCACTCCATGTGGTGTGTAGAACCGGCGACGAGTCGAGCCACATCTTAGCGGGACCCTTAAGCCGCGTATAAATGGCGAGCAAACGAAACTTCTCGTCCCATTGGTAAGCCTCAACTACCCTGTTGACACGATCGATGAACTGGGCTACGGAGATGGCGTTATCGTCGCTGGGGTCATAGTCCGGCAAGGTATTTGCTATTTCCTTGACCGACGCTTGCCTTACGTAATTGGTAGCCTATTTTTTCTTCTCTGATCTGCTGCTGGTTTGTTGTTGCTGCTGCCGCTTGTGCTGTTTCACCTGATGCTGTTGCTTCCGCGTTTTGTCGTTGCATGATGACCAACTGAACCATCATATTCTTCAGCTCAGTCATTTCATTTTGCATGTGTGAAATTGCCGCCGCATGTGACGTCAGCGTCTCCTCCTCATGTTGACTTATGTTTCCAGTTGCTTGTGGCATCTCTACGTCTTCGGTTTTCTCAAACTCAATTAGTCGTTGTACTAATTCGGCTCTGGAGCCCGAAACTGCCAAGTTCCGCTCTCTTAACAGGAACCGTAACTGGTCCACCTTAGGATCCGCAATTTTGACCATTTTCGCTGATATAGTCGCCCCTCTTTTAACTTGCACGCACAATCAGTTTGGTGCAAGCGAGACAACTGATATGACTGTATTTCACAACGTTGGGCTTCCACTTGTGAATTTCACAACGACGCTACATACACACACAAGCCTTTTGTATGAATTAATGTATATTGACAGGCTCACACAGATTCCTGACGCAATTTCTTTCTGTCCAGGTTCACTAAGATTCCTGATCGCTGAACGTTGAATCCGTCTGCCGCGTAGAAAAGGAACACCTCCGTAATTTGCAATTTTCTTTGTCACACAGACCTTAGGGAACATATCCCATTGCAAACTTCCCACGCCGACGATTCTTGCCGCTTTTCTTGAGTTTCTCTTAAAACTTTTACGCTCTACACATAACAACTCTACTAATCCCACTTCTGAACTGTGAAGGGATGGCTTTTGAGTAGCATAGTAGTGTTTATTGGATATAATAAGTTGAACAATATATGTAGACTGAATTAATTGAAAATAAGGTTTTCTTGAACGTGTGTTATCTTGTTCGCTTCGACTTCTTAACTAAGTATCGCCTCTGTTGTTATCGATGGCTAGGGCCTATCGTGCGTATAACAGCCCCCCCATAGAGTGGACCGCTTCTGTTGACTAACAGCTCTTCACACAATGCTGAATTTGTTTAATACAAAAATGTCAAGAAGGGTGTGGATGGTTGTAAGTAATAATTGTAATCCAATCCAAAATTGTATGTACAAGTATATCTTGTGTGTTTTAGAAGCGGTATGGGACTTTTTGGGAGAAGGATGTTCTGGATAACAACGACGAGCTCTTCAAAGAAAGCTTCAGAATGGAGAAGCCCACTTTCTGTTTATTGGTCAGCCGTCATTGGTCACTCCATGTCGAGCCCAGCCTCCTTCATGGAATGGGCCATCTCCATATATATATGGGAATTCTTCCGTGGTCCGCGAATATCGTCGATCTTCTTCTGCCAAACATCTACAAGCAGGTTCTCCATCTCGGCAGACCACTTCAACCTGCCACCAGCTGTTCTTTTGTTTGCTGCATTGTTATGTAGCATTAATGATATTGTTATAAACTAAAAATAAATCTATAAAACTTACCACCGCCATTTTCTGCCTTTTCCATTTTTAATTAATAATTTTTGTTTGCTTGCTCGGGTTGCTCGGGTGCGAATGGGTTTTGTTTTTTTTTTTTTACCATTTTCCTGTCTGTCATTGTTTACATTTTCGTAGTAAATTCCGATTTTTTTATGTGAATGTCAAATATTTATGGTTGCATTTGACATTTATCGAAAAAATACCGCACAGAAACGAGCGAATTAGGAACATCCCAGATGGATGGTGGAATAACTGGGAAATTTTCGGAACGGCAAAACCTTACGGACCATCCCCGAAATGGATGGTGGATGGTGGCCTGTGGGAATAGGCTATTATAGTAATGAATATATATGTGTATATTCTAATATGAGCGTAATATGAGTGTAATTTATGTGTAATATGTGTGTAATAAGTATTGTAATATGTAGTGTGGCGCCGGCGCTTTTTGTGGTGGCTCTGGGCGTCACAACTTTCTGTACCTTTTGTGTCTTCTGACCCTCATTTGCTCACCGTAGGAGACCCTATTCGCAGTCCAACTTGTTCAAGTTCTAAATGCGACGACAAAATTGTAAACGGTTTATGTACCGTATGCATACCAACTCACACACACAAACACACCGAAGCAGGAGAGAAGACTATTGCTGACCAGCGTAGTTCGTTCAGCCATAAAATACGCTGCAGCAGTTGGGGCGGACGCCATCAAAATCGCCAGCTACGCGAGGGGCGTCAAATCGATACATCGGCTTTGCGCGCTGAGAATATGCTGCGGCTTCCGCACCATATCAGACGACGCCGCGCTGGTCATAGCAGGAGTTCTCCCCATCGATCTGTTAGTAGTTGAGGAGAAGAACGTAGCTCTGGCCATCCGGGCAGGAGCCGAACGGAAGGCGGCGCGAGAGCAGGCAAGAGAGGAGAGCCTCAGTGTGTGGCAAAGCCGCTGGGACAGCTCCGAAAACAGCCGGTGGACTTACAGTCTCATCCCAGATGTGAGAAGCTGGACGAACAGGGGCCACGGTGCGGTGAATTTCTACACGACGCAACTCCTCAGCGGACACGGCTGCTTCGGCCAGCGGCTGTCACCCAGCAAACCTGGTGGAAGCGATGATAGGAGACGAGGCGGTATGGACAGCAGTAACCAACTTTGCTGCCGCCGCGTTGAAAGAGCTCCGGAGATGCGAGACCGTTAGGAAGAACCACCGTCCCTGCGAAGCAATGCTTCGCGGCCGTCCCGCAGGGACACGGTACTTCCTCTGTCGCCCCACGTATCCTGGCGACGAATGAAATCTAATCTATAATCTAATATATAATAATTATTAAGCTAGTAGTTCATACTCTCTATATGCGTAACTAAAAAAAAAAAATGAGCTAAGGAATAAAAAAAAAAAAACACAAACACACATGGAGACGATGGACCAGCAGACATCCCCGATCCCATACAGTCTGACGGAGTCATCGTCACAAACCATGGAAGCCCCGCATGAAGAGGCTTGGTCCACTGCGACCCTCAAGCCCAGACGCCGACCATTAAACGCCCCTGAAGGTCCAGAAAGGAGACCCAAAGCGACAACGACCCACCCACCCAGGCGACAAAGGCATGACGCAATCATAATTGCCACAAATGGAAACCCCTCCTACACCGACATCCTGAGGATGGTGATGAGGAGAGACGACGGGAAGCTGAAGGATGTTGGCAAAAATGTTGACAGAGTCAGACGCACAGCAAAGGGAGACCGCCGCTTATAGAGGCTGGCAAACTCAAACTTGAACTAAACGGCGCGCAGAAGGAGAATACTGCCCAGCTGAAGGAGGAGATAGGCCAAGTGCTTGGTACGCTGGCAGGCACCAGGGCACTGGTAAGCGAGACTTACATCGAGATCCGCGACATGGACGACCTTGCCACCAAAGGAGGTCGCCATGGCATAGTCTGCTCAGGTGGACCACCAAGTGGAAACAGCATGCACTAGGGCCCTACGGCCGGGATATGGAGGTTCCCAGGTGGCTATTGTCGGGCTTGCGGACCCGCTGCCAAAGCGGCTTATAGAGGCTGGCAAACTCAAGATCGGGTAGACAAGATGCAGGATCGTAGAGCGATCAGGACAGAGGCGCTGCTACAAATGCCTAGAGTTTGGGCACATCGGACGGCCAAATGTAATCCTGACAGGAGACTTCAACGCCTGGTCAGAGGAATGGGGACCAGATTTACCAACGCTAGAGGTCACACCCTCCTAGAAGCCTTTGCCACACTGGAGATAACCCTTCTCAGCATGGGATCAGAGGACACGTTCTCTCGTGCTGTGACAGGGTCAGTCATTGACTTGTTCTTCTTCAGTAGCGCTCTTTTCGAGAGTAAAATGTGGACGCTCAGCACCACATACACTGCCAGTGACCACAAAGCATTTATATGCAGTATCGAGTCCCGCAGGCAAGGCTCAGCCCACCAGCCAACGACGGCCTTTAACGCCAGAACCCTCAGGCCAGAGGTTGTTCTTGAGGAGCTGATCAAGCACAAGGCAGACAAGGAGCCACCCGCGCCACCGCGAGCCGGTATTCTGGTGGACCACGGAGATCGCCAAAGCTCGCAGCGAATGCATACGTGTTAGGAGGCGCCAAACACGCGCGAAGGGAACGCCAGCCTTCCATACGAGGTCCCAGGAATACGCCGCGAAACGCCGAGTCCTCAAAAGGTCTATCAGACAAAGCAAGAGGAATTTCTTCCTAGAGCTTTGTGATTCTGCCGAAAATGACCCCTGGGGTCACGCATACAAGGTCATAGCAAAAAAGCTCAACGCGGCAAAGCCCTTCACCGCGGCCGATCCTGCCAGGATGAAAGAAATTGTCGAATGCCTCTTTCCCGCTGTCGCCCCAGCTGTCAGCCCGGCGCGAGCACCGTATCGCGACATCGGATGGACCGACATAACGGCAAGAGAGATTCTGGATGTGGCAGAAGAGACCCCGACCAGCAAGGCCCTAGGCCCAGATGGTATCCCCGATACCGCCGTGAAGCTGGCAATGACAGCGCATCTTTCGCGCATGTCTTTAACATGTGCCTTTGCGAAGGAGTCTTCCCAGAGCCATGGAAGCAGCAGAAGCTTGTCCTGTTGCCAAAACCCCACAAGCCTCCTGAAGAACCTTCATTCTACAGGCCCATCTGCCTGATAGACAACGTGGGCAAAGCGCTGGAGCGATGCATTTGCAGGAAGCTTCAGAAAGCCGTCGTAGAGGCAGGTGACCTGTCTCCGATGCAGTTCGGCTTTAGGAAGGCAAGATCGACGGCGGACGCAATCCGCATAGTTAAAGACATACCGGTAAAAGCTATTGAGGGAGCCAGGTGGCTTGGAGGACGGAAGCAGTACTGTCTCGTGGTCACTCTCGACGTAAAGAACGCTTTGAACTCGGCGAGGTGGGACGTCATCCTTAGGGCCCTAACCGGCTTAGGAATCCCGGACTACTTGGTAGCAATCATCGAGGACTACTTCAGAGGCCGGAAGCTGCTATACAGCACCAATAGCGGTACGATGCAGAACCAGGTGACATGCGGCGTTCCCCAAGGCTCGGTCCTGGGACCAACCCTGTGGAACGTTATGTATGACTCCATCCTTAAGCTCCAACTACCAACAGACGCCCGCACAGTAGGATTCGCAGACGACGTCACATTGGTGGTAGTAGCCAAGCACCTCGGCGACGTGGAGGCCCGAAGTAACCAAGCGGTGGCCACAATCCAGGAGTGGCTGAACTCAGTGGGCCTTAAACTGGATGAGCAAAAGACGGAGGCAGTGCTTATATCCAGCCGCAAAAAAAGTCGAGGTAGTGACCGTCCGTGTCGGCTCAGTCGACATAATATCCGCAAGAGCAATCCGATATCTCGGTTTAATGTTGGATACTCGCCTCTCATTTCGCGAGCACCTCCAGGCAGTCAGCAAAAAGGCAGCCGACGTAGGAAGAGCACTCTCGCGCATGATGCTGAAAACGAGGGGACCTTGCTTGGGTTGGACTCCTGCTTCAGTCTGTCACCAATCTGGGCAGAGGCGGCGAGGACAAAGTCCTACAGGAGAGGGCTAGACGCAACTCACCGACTAGGAGCTCTGCGAGTCTGCTGCGGTTTCCGAACTATTTCGGATGACGCGGCCTTGGTCATAGCAGGAATGCTCCCAGTGGCGGACCTCGCCAAGGAAGCAAAGGAAATCTCCTTAGAACTCGAAGCAGCACCACAGAACCGATCTCCGGCACTACGGAAACGAATCAAGCCGGCAGCGAGGGAAAGGAGCTTAAACAGATGGCAGGAATGATGGGCCACCTCAGCGAAGGGCACATGAACATTCCGCCTTATACCGGACATCGCTACGTGGGTAAACCAGAAGCATGGAGAAGTAAATTTTTGGCTAACCCAGCTACTAAGTGGACACGGCTGTTTTAGGAGCTTCCTCAATCGTTTCGGGCACGACAGCAACGCTAACTGCCCGACGTGTGGCGTCGCAGAAACCGCAGAGCACATCCTTTTCAACTGCGCAAGGTTTGCAGATCAGCACAGCGGCATTGGCGGGGACACGCTGAACGCCGAGAACCTGCTCAACAGGATGGTTTCGCGTGAACAGTACTGGTCAATGGTATACGGATTCACGTCAGAAGTTATGCGGAAGCTGAGAGAGCTGGAGCGGAGTCGCAACGGCATGGAAGGAGGGGTCTAAGACGACCCGCCCGTCTCTGCGAAGCAAACCTTCGCGGCATACCCGCAGGAACTCAGGCTTTATTTATATAATCTTCCACATATCATTTTCTTCTTGTTATTCTATACACTTCCTTACCTAAAAAATTGATAAAAAACGAGAAGGAACGTGTGAGTCGCTTCTGGGGACGCGACTCTACTTATACCCGTACTCAGTCTGTATATACATTTTTGAGCTAATGATTTTTTAGAATTAAAAAAAAAAAACATTTTACATATTACATTTTTTTGCTACATATGTTATCTACATCTACATCTGCAATGTATATTCCACATCTAACATGTAGATTGTACATGTACCATTTATATTCTACATCTCTTCCGCTAGGGGTTGCTCGCGCACTGAACGCGGCAGAGTGTGCGAGCGAGAAAGAGAATCAGTAGCGTCAGCAGCGCTGGAGAAGGAGAGGGAACCAACAGAAAATTCATTTCTTCATTCTGGCTATAATTATGATCCGATCTGACTCAGATTCGGCAATCTGGTAGATATGGTCATTTTCTACGATACTGCGTTTTTAGTTTTATCGTATCTTTAAAATTGTGCCTGCCACAGATTTTCGTCCTTTATGGTGGCGGAAGGGGGCGGGGCGAAATTTTGAAATACACTTGTAGCAGTGTGATATTACATGAGTCTGGAAACAAAATTTGGTTGCTCTAGCTCTTATAGTCTCTGAGATCTAGGCGCTCATCAAGAAGGACAGACGGACGGACGGACGGACGGACGGACAGACGGACATGGCTATATCGACTCGGCTATTGATGCTGATCAAGAATATATATACTTTATGGGGTCGGAAACGTTTACTTCTCTGCGTTACACACATCCACTTTTACCACAAATCTAATATACCCCTTATAGCCTTTTCACACTGGGGACCATCCACCATCCATTTATGGGATGGTCCGTAAGGTTTTGCCGTTCCGAAAATTTCCCAGTTATTCCACCATCCATCTGGGATGTTCCTAATTCTCACGTTTCAGTGCGGTATTTTTTCGATAATTGTCAAATGCAACCATATTTCACAACAAAAAATCGGAGATCACTACGAAAATGTAAACAATGACAGACAGGAAAATATAAAAATAAAACAAAATAACCCCATCAGATCTCACAAAGCACGCAAAAAATAAAAAAATATCAAATATCAGCTGCAGGTGGTTTTATTTCGATGTGACATCCATCTAACATAAAAATTAAGTGATGAAATTAATTTACATATATGTATATACATATATTATGGATGATTTTATTGCATTATTACCAATTGCACCAGGCACTGAGGAAATCCAATTTCTTCAAATGCTTGGACACACTCGTCAATTTTCTCTGAAGTGAGATAGTTTTTGGACATGTATTCCTCTGAGAATTCGTTGATGAATGCTCTGCAAAACTCAGGCAGGATATTGCAGACGCTGTTGGCTGACACTCCGAAAAACACTCTTTTCAGAAGAAGATCCCAAAGTATAAAAAGATATGGCGATACGCTTCTCCAGAGGAATTGCAGCTCGGCAGTTTGTGTCCTTCTTCCGTAGCACTTCCAAGCGAGTAACCAACAGAGAAAAGCAGGATCTCTCCATCCTAAAACTTTCCTTAAAAAACGCCTCGTTGTTTTTCGGGTACATCCTTCTCCCAAAATGTACCGAACCGCTTCTGAAAAACATAACATATATATTTGTACTTTAAACATTGGTTGCATTTATTAGAAGCACTCACAAATGACCACAACCTTCCGGGCTTCAGTGTTTTCAAAACAGATATCCATTCTATTATCTCCTCCTCGTCAAAGTTATCTTCATCATCATCGTCCATGTCCAACAACATGATTAGCTTGTGCAAGAATATGTTTTGCTGCTGAATCACATTCACGACCATTGAAATGTTATTTATATTCATTTTAATTAAAGTAAACAAATTTTCACCTCACGCAATTGTGAGCAACAGCTGTTTCTCATGGATGGTGGATGGTGGATGGTGTCAATGTGAATCGGTGTTTCACATATTTCAAAAATTCCCACCGTTCCCCCAGGATGGACTCAGTGTGCAGAGAGTATTGTGTTTTCAATTACAATTATCTCTAGTACCCTCTCCATACTGAACCCTTCCCTGGGGAACGGTGGGATGTGAAGCACCGATACACACTGACACCATCCACCATACATGAAAAACAGCTGGATGAGCATAAAATAACTAAGATTTGTGAGGAAAATATTATTGTTTATTGAGAGAGAATGGATAATATTTTGGCAATTGTGTTGGCTGTCGTTCAACAGCCACATAATATTATTTTGCTCAAGTTAATAATGTTGTTACAAATGATTTCATGAGTCGAAAACTAATTATTTCGACGAGCCATGGCGTAGATATGTACATGAATGATATGTTCGATTCCAGCCGCTATCATGGACGGGACAATTAAGTTTCAATATTATTTGAAAAGACCGACGAATCTAATTTTTTTTTATTGTATATTTAACCAAAAACGTTTATTTTATTTTCGTGGTACAAACCCCCAAACATTAAACTAAACATTGGAAAAACATTTTATAATTTTATTTTTTAACAAACAGCAACAAAGGGGGGAAAAAAGGATTGAAAAAAAAAAAAATTTGATGAAATTTTGACCCAGCCTAATCTGCACTGTCTAACATTTATTCGAATTGTTAACTGCTTTTGTCAACGTATGCCTTTTTATACCCGTACTCAAAAAAGAGTTAAAGGGTATATTAGATTTGTGGTAAAAGTGGATGTGTGTAACGCAGAGAAGGAAACGTTTCCGATCCCATAAAGTATATATATTCTTGATCAGCATCAATAGCCGAGTCGATAGAGCCATGTCTGTCTGTCCGTCTGTCCGTCTTGCTTGACGCCTGGATCTCAAAGACTATAAGAGTTAGGGTAACAAAATTTGGTTTCCAGACTCATGTGATATCACACTGCTACAAGTGTATTTCAAAATTTCGCCCAGCCCCCTTCCGCCACCACAAAGGACGAAAATCTGTGGCAGCCACAATTTTAAAGATACGATTAAACCAAAAACGCAGTATCTTAGAGAATGCCCATATCTACCAGATTGCCGAATCTCAATCAGATCGGATCATAATTATAGCCAGAATGAAGAATGACATTAATTTTCCGTTGCTTCCCCTGCCCACTCCAGCAAACGACAACGCAACTCATTTTCCTTCTCGCTCGCACACTCTGCCGCGTTCAGTGCGCGAGCAACCCCTAGCGGAGGAGATGTAGAATCTAAATGGAACCTGTACAATCTACATGTTAGATGTAGAATATATATTGTATATGTAGATGTAGATAGCAGATGTAGCAAAATAATGTAAAAAGTAAATAATTTTTTTTTTCTAAAATTCTAAAAAATCATAAGCTCAAAAATGTATATGCTGACTGAGTACGGGTATAAGAAGAGTCGCGTCCCCAGAAGCGACTCACACGTTCCTTCTCGTTTAAATTTCTGCTTTCTGCGTCTCTTTATTCGCACAAGGTTTTCAATTAGAGGGTCTCGTGTTGCAGAAGGTCGGACCGAGGGCGCCTCTGTTGTGGGTGGCTCTGCGAAGAAAGCTGTGTGTTTGTTAAGCGTGTGTACTGCTGCGCCAATGTCTTCTGGTGACTCAATTTTGACGTTTAGACAAATGTGATCTTCCAGATAAGTTTGAAACATCTCAATGTTTGCTCGACTATGCAGGAGCTTCATATTGGCGGGGTAGTCGACAAGGGGAGTGTATTTCCATGAGAAACGGTTGTTGGTCGGTGGAGGAGGGGAGGGGTGGATTGCAGTGTGAAGCTCATATCCCAAGGTTAAAGGGTTGTTTTGCTACAAAAGTGAGTTTCTGAGAGGAGCATTATATCGATATTTTTTGTTGTTATACGGGTTAAGCTCTAGGCTTTTGGTTGGCTATGGCCGACGCATTCCAAATACCTACACGGAAGAGCATTTTGGAAGGTTGATGACTGATAGTTTTTGAACATCTGTTCTTGCATTTTCATAAGCCTGCTTTGCATTATTAGCTTGTTCTCGAGTAGCGAGCTGTGAGGTGATTCTGGTTCTGGACTGGTATAGTTTGACGTGTGGTCTTGTGGTTCTCTTCTCCTTGTAAATTGGCTTTGGCTGGGGAAATTAAACTCAGTCTACGCCATAATCCCGTCCACAAGAAAATTTATCTTGTCGAGACCCAAGCAACAGCAGGCGATTCTCTGATCGACTTTTCTGTTCGCCTTTTGAGGGAATCCATTTGCCGATGGAATGAGAGAAGTGCAGCCGAAAATTGCTAATCGGTAGTGGCGAGCTGGTCAGAGCAACTTTTGAAGTTCTAGCAGGCAAACTATATGTCTTTCGACGCGAGTACACTCACCGGATAATCCTCCAAATTCCCGCATCACAAAGATAAAGATCTCCACACGTATATGCTGCGGTAACTTCAGCTCCTTCCGTACTCCTTCCCGTTTCTCACACCAACTAACTCCTCTTCTTTTCTCGCAATTGAACGAGGGCTCTCCTTCGGGCATCGCAGCGCTGCCTGCCGTAAAACTCGCGTGGTTCTCTCCCCCTCTCGGCGCCCTTCCGTGGCATCCTTTTATTGGCGCTGGGCTCTCAAGCAGCGTCAGCAAATGTGCATTTCTCTGACGAGGTCCACCGAGACCAAAAAATTATATATTTATTTATAGAAGGACGTCTCCAAATAATTGTGTTGCGATTTTATAATCTAAATTTAATGAACAAAAATATAATTGACATATAGTTTCATTAACTTTGATGTGAAAACCTACTCAATTAATCACAAGCTGGCTTTTTCGGTCATTTTTTTTGTTTTGTTTTCTTTATGTTTTCAATTACAATTATCTCTAGTACCCTCTCCATACTGAACCCTTCCCTGGGGAACGGTGGGATGTGAAGCACCGATACACACTGACACCATCCACCATACATGAAAAACAGCTGGATGAGCATAAAATAACTAAGATTTGTGAGGAAAATATTATTGTTTATTGAGAGAGAATGGATAATATTTTGGCAATTGTGTTGGCTGTCGTTCAACAGCCCCATAATATTATTTTGCTCAAGTTAATAATGTTGTTACAAATGATTTCATGAGTCGAAAACTAATTATTTCGACGAGGCCTGGCGTAGATATGTAAATGAATGATATGTTCGATTCCAGCCGCTATCATGGACGGGACAATTAAGTTTCAATATTATTTGAAAAGACCGACGAATCCAATTTTTTTTTATTGTATATTTAACCAAATAAGTTTTTTTTTATTTTCGTAGTAGAAACCCCCAAACATTAAAATATATATGTATCTCTATATATATAAATGGGATTTCTTCCGAGGTCCCTGCAAACCCTCGATACTCTCCTGCCAAATATAAATTAAAATATTTTACATTTCAGCAGACCACTTCAACTGGCTGCCTGTTTTTTTAATGGCTTTTATAGGCTGTTTACATTGGGGCTGCGTCATGCTTCTTGGCGTCTTGCCGGAGACGCAGTTTTTTTACATAGGTTAAGCATAGGACCCTAGTGGTGGCGAAAAGTTGCGTCAGTTTCTGATTCATGTGCGTCTATTCGATATATTCGATTGCTTTTGCTCATTTTTGGGATTTTCTGCCTATCAGCGCAACTATCACCACTAATAACAACAAAAAATTTTAGATCAAAAATCAAATTTTGGCGCTAAAAATGTATGATTGTGCAAAAAGGTGAAAATATACATAAAGTCATTAAATAAAATACTTGAAACTGATTGTATTATTATCATATGAAATTTTTCTGACCCCCTGATGCCATTAAGACACTGCTGGAGACGAACTTCGGTGGTTTTCATAATTTGAAGAAGAACTCCCACAAACTCTACAATGAAATGTCTGAAAATAATATTTAAATATGAGAATCAATTCTTTTTCGTCCATTTTCCTGACGTCTTGCTTAATTCTGTTGATTTTCAAAAATTTGTGTATCTTTCCTTGTCATCAAACAACCAAATCCAAATTCAAGACGCACGTCTCCCAATGTAAACGCCTTTTGTGCTTCATTGCGTCTCTGCCGATATCGATAGCAGACGCGCCCAGTGTAAAAAGGCTATTAAATTATAATGCATAGGAATAAGAAGAAAATGCATATATCCTTTATTCATATTACATATAAAAGTTTCTCTTTCTTCAAGTATTATTTATTCGAAAACAAAAACCGGAAACAGCTAATGGACTGTGTGGAGTTGTTTTTCCCATTTTCCTGTCTGTCATTGTTTACATTTACGTAGCATTTCCATTTTTTCGTTGTGAATGTCAAATATTTATGATTGCATTTGAAAATGATCGAAAAGAAATAAAAAAAATAAATATTTAAATAATGAAGACAAATAGAATCTAATAAAGGCAGCTATATGAAGGACAGTTATATGGATATTATAACTTAATGTACAATTTAAGTATGAATTTAAAACAAATATTGTTTTCAAAAAATGTTTTCTCCGCGCTATGATGCGGGGTTGCACGGGAGGCGTCGCCATCTGCTGCTGCTGATAGCCAGGCACATTCCTTTGGCAATCAAATATTGGCGAGCCAGGATATGCCTGGGTAGGAGCGGGTCCGGGGGAAGAAATACATTTCATAAACTTTGTTTACTTTAAAGCCAAACTGTTTTCTAAACTGTTTGCTAGCAAACAAATTTCATATATTCTTTTAGCGGCCAGCGGTGTGACCAGAGGTGTGCACTGCATTCCGTACGGCTACACTGCTCCGACAGCTGCTTGGTTTTGTTTAAAGTTGATAAAATGCACTTCTTCGGTTGGGGTCGCTCTTCCCCAGGCATATCCTGGGCTCCCCAATATTTTATTGGCAAGGTATTACCTGTCTGACTATCAGCAGCAGCAGATGGCGACGCCTCACGTGCCGACCACCGTGAAGAAAAAAAGTTTTGAATACAATATTTGTTTTATATTTATGAAAATTAATAAAAATAATATATTATAATATCCATATAATTGTCCTTCATATTTGTCTTTGTCTTCATTATTTTAAGCTTTAAACGAAAAATTCCTGCCACAGTTTTTTATACCCGTACTCAAAAAAGAGTTAAGGTAGTTGTATTTGTATTTGTGGTAAAAGTGGATTTATGCAACGCAGAGAAGGTAACGTTTCCGACCCCATAAAATGTATATATTCTTGATCAGCATCAATAGCCGAGTCGATAGAGCCATGTCTGTCTGTCTGTCTGTTCGTCTTGATGAGCGCCTGGATCTAAGAGACTATAAGAGCTAGAGAAACCAAATTTGGTTTCCAGACTCACGTGATACAAGTGTATTTCGCCCGCCCCTTTCCGTCACCACAAAGGACGAAAATCTGTGGCAGGCACAATTTTAAAGATACGATAAAACTTAAAACGCAGTATCGTAGAGAATGCCCATATTTACCAGATTGCCAAATCAGAACGGATCATAATTATGGCCAGAATGAAGAAATTAATTTTCAGTTGCTTCCCCCGCCTCCACCAGGTAGAGACCCACTACTCATTCACTTTCTCGCTCGCACACTCTGCCGCGTTCAGTGCGTGAGCGCCCTCTAGCGACAAAGATGTAGAATCTAAATGGTACAATTACAATCAACATGTTAGATGTAGAATATACATTGTAGATGTACATAGATAACAGATGTAGCAAAATAATGTAAAATGTAAATTATAAAATTCTGAAAAATCAAGCTCAGAGGCGTCCCCAGAAGCGACTCACACGTTCCTTCTCGTTTTTTATTTAATGCGTGTATTTGGTTGAGAAACTGCATAATATCGTTGTTAATGGTAATGTAGTACAAGTAAACAATATTTAGACCACTGTGCATCTTCAACGAGCTGCCTATCACTTTTGGAAGAAATTGGTCCTCTGCAAAGGGCCACCATACCACCATGTAGGTGGTAGAAAGCCGTTGGAAAGCTCCGTGCTTACTTCTCCTGAATGCATTGTTTCTTTGAAGGAAAAAGCAGCAAAGAAAGATTTGAAGCTATAAAAATATGCAGGCATCTGTTTCTGCCAGAAAAAGCGTGGGCGGCAGGCATCATTAGCCAAACCAGCAGCTAAGCGAAACAAGGCTCTTTTGGACGATGATTAGGATTTTTGCATCATCTGTCTGCTAGAATGTGCAAGAAGAATGTAATAAATGTAATCGTCTGGTGCATATGAAGTGCTTTCATATGCGTACAAGTAACTTAACTTGCAAGCATTGCGACTCTAATTCCGATGATTGATGTCAAAAAGGGTCATCCTTCTATTTCTTTATGCCAGTAGGCTCGATTTCTCGTTATTTTTGGTGTTTTTCTTTCATATTTTGTAATTTTTAGTGGATTTTTCAGGGTGGTCCACAACTAGGATTATATTTTTTTTCTCGAAAAAGGTTACTTCACTAAATACTTGATACAATTTTTCTGGATGAAGGAATCAATTTAGTTATTCATTGATAGTTAGCTAATACCTCTAGCTTTAAATTGGTACACATATGTTTGTATAATATGCAATTGGTCAAAGGTTATGAGGAAAAACAAAACTATTTCCACAACCGGACCCTCTTTCTTACTATGCAATAGCAAGGAACACGTGTCTAGGGATCGCACCTTATGCCCAGTATGGGGTAAAAGAACAAATTTTCCAACGGATCCAACCGGATTTTACACCCAGGTGATCATGACAAAACTTCCTTTACGTCAAACGTGTGCATACTTTTTGAGCAAACTATGAAAACATTTGTAGTCATTTGTAATTCTACCAGATGGCATCGCTTCAAAATGCCAAAACAAAACTAACAAAAAATTTCTTCACATTATTGCCATTGCATTTATGTCAAAAACCCCTGTTCGGCTAAGCGCAGACCCACGCCAGCTCAAATAGAAGCCTAGCGATCATTATACCAAAAACTGGTAACTGTAATGAACTAAATTAGCAGTAGTTTGAGAAGACAATCACAAAAACCACATACGTATCGTCTGAACGTGAAAACGAGTCCGATGCGCATCTGAGAAGCCTTCCCTGCAAGGTTTGTATTCTAATATGTTGCCTCCGTAGTTCTTCGATGGCCAACAGTCTCGGTAAAAGCATTTAATTAAGTTTACCTTAAAATTCACATGTGTGTTATTTTTTAGCAGCTGATTGCTGCCATGCATGGAGAGTTGCCAGACAACTGCTAGAGTTGCCGAGTACATTGTTTTAATTGACTCGATATGGAATGTTGTTTTGCTTTGAAATTAAAAAGTACAGCTTTGAAAAATCAATTATTTTATACCATAAAAGAAAAAAATAAAAACCAATTGTTTTGATATGATTTAAATAGTAAAACTGCGAAATTAACCCTATTCGAATTGAATCGTGAAAGGTGTCAGCACTAGCCTTAGTTCGAATTTGGTTTGTGACAATGCTAACAAAAATTAAATCGCTCGGAATTCTGTGGCACGGCGGAATTTTTGAAGCGGAAATCCTCTGTGCGGTTTCCCATTTCACTAGTGATTTCTGTGGCACCCCTGTATATATTGTAATATCCATATAATTCTCCTTCATATAATGCTGCATTAATTAGATTCTATTTGTTAGTTATATAGTTAGTTAGTTATATATTTCATTTGCTTCGTTTTTGCTGGCAAAATATATCAAATTGGACTTGTGGACTATCCTCTGGGAATTCTTTTATGAATATTGCACACGCTGTTGGCTGACAGCCTTTCGACTGTTCTGTACTCAGAAAAAGAGCCCAAAGTATACAATGCTATGGCTGAAACAATAAATTCTCCCCGTCAATGTTGACCACATTATTATCATCATCCATGTCCAGCAAAATGCTTAGATTGTGCAAGAATAAATAAATACATTTTTTGGTGCTGAATCAAATTCATAACCATTGCAATAAAATTAATAATTATTTGTATTATAGTTTGCATCAGTTTTTTTTCATGGATGGTGAATGGTGCCAGTGGGAATCGGAGTTTCATATATTTTAAAAATTCCCACCGTTCCTCATAGATGTGCTGTGTGGCTATAGGCTATAACTTCTCGCCATATGTACATATTACATATATGAAAAATTATCTTGTTAGATTGCTATGGTAAGACGTGAACACCCGTAGCTATTTTGTGTCTTCACCTTTTAAATAAAATATGTATTTTTTTGCACTGCGGTCATACTGAACAAAGAAAATTTCGTTCGTTTTAACATTTTTATGGAAATATTTACCCAAATCGCTTAAGTTAATGCAAGTCACTTGATGTGCTTTGACCACTTTGAGTATTATATTCTAAAAATTTTACGAAATAAAGAAGGTAACAATATAGCATATAAATTCAAATTAAACACAACCTCAAAATGTGGCGTGGCTTTTACACAAATTTTTGTACATACACATACATATATGTGTCGAGTTTATAAGTGAGTTCTGTGATTAATTTTTCTCAATAAGTTTTGTACATAATATATTGGGAAGTGTTCAAGTATATTTTTATATGGAGATGGGCCATAGTCCTATGAGTAAATTAATAAATGCATCTGACTAAATTAATAAATATTTTGCATATCCTTATTTAATGCTGACTTTGTATACATATAAGCATATCACATTTCTACAAACAAAAGAATACATTTACATATGTATGTATGTACGTCCAAACAGTGTATGAAAAATTGTATGGCTTAGCCTCGATTACAGTCATCATTACATCGTCGTACACATTCCTCCAGTGAAAGCAGTACATACAATTGTGTTCAATGAAATAGTGCCGCACCTCATCACTTTCAAAACTCTTTTTGAGACACTTCCAGTTATCCAAATTGAACAAACGATACCTTTTTAAATAGACTGGACTGTTAGCATTAGAAAACATTAGAAAAAAATATCCATACATTTGAGTTCCATCTTCTTGTTTTACATGACATAACCCAAATTCCCATGAAATATGCTGTTCAATGAAATAGTAGTGTTTTTTAGAAAATTAAAAAAAACAACGAAACTCAAATAAAAACATATATCTCATGTTCTTCATGTTTCTTGAGCTTTAATATGTAGTTTTTTATCAATTTGGTTTTCATTGCGAACTTGCACCGGCCGAACATGGGTCATTAATCTCTTGCCAACGCTTCAATAGAATTTGAGCCAATAATCGTTGAACCACTTGCTAAAATTTTGCTCTGGCTGACGGATTTGCAGTTGCAACAATGTATTTGGTATTTCAGCATAAGATTTCGATGAGATTAATATCCAGTTGGACAGTTGGCCATGGCAAAACGTCGATCTTTTCCGATAAAAATCAATTCCTAGCGAGCTTTTCTGGGTGTTTCAAGTCATTATCCGGTTAAAAGATCCTTTTAACAGGAATTTTTCAACTGTAATATGAATGTTATGTATTCTAAAGTATGCCTACATACACAGTTTTCCTCAATACTATATTATACTCAAATGCTAGGCTAAAAAGTACTAGCTCATATGAGCTGGGCCCCATAAGGCTCAGCCTAGCATGCCCAATGCTATATTTTTCATGATTTTAGGTGGTAATCGGATTTCTGTGAATGCCAAACATATTCTTTTGAGTCTATCTTACCAAAAAATACAACTTTACTATCATCAGTCAAAAGTATTTTTGTCACTGTGACACAGGACATTCCACAGCGTGTTTCCAAACTGAAGTCGTGCACCCATGTACTCTCAGACCCAAACGCGGAGCTTTATGGGACTTCTTGCACTCAAATAATGTTTAATCAACCGTCTTCGAACTGTCTCATAACTGACAGAATGATTAAAAATGTTGTTCATACTTTTTGAGGATATTGACAGACATGGTCTTGCCTTCGACAATCGCCGACCATCCTCTAAAAAATAAGTTTTTCGCATACAAAATTGATTTTTAGTCGAATTCTTACATTTAATTGGGTTAAATAAAATAGTGAGAGTGCATACAGCTTAGTTTTCAATCCCATTATACCTCCTTCCTTAAGTTTTTAGTTTAACTCTTAGGTCTCCTCTTCTGGACCGAGAAATGATTTCTTCAACGCTTCAAAATCAAAATTACCGCAATATCCAAAACTTTCTTTCATCAAATTATTCGATATCTGAATTGAGCTTGCGGATGGTGACTTATTTAAATTACTTTGCTTTGCATTTTGCATTTTTTTAAATAAATTTAACCCAGCGCTACTATTTCATTGAACAGCAGATATCATGAGTAGTTGTCTAAAGTCATGAAAAACAACAAGATGGAATGCAAATGTAACGGAGTTTCTTCATGTTTATAATGCTTACTTTTCAAATATCTCAATAAGAGTTTTGAAAGTAGTGAGGTGCGTCATTGAACACAACTGTATGTACTAGCCAAGACTACCATTGCCAAGATGAGGCACAAAAGAACCGTTCTATGGCGGGGTTTGTCTTGACGCCCCTTAGATAGAGGGCGCGCGCGGGTGTTTAGTTCCTCGTCGCTGACCGTGACCTCTTACATCGACTTTGCTTTCTTTCTTAGCTTAGTTTGCAAGAACCATTATTTGCCCTTATTTGGTTATATGTTCATTCGTATGTATGAATTCTTGGTGAGTCCTTTTGACTGTTTTCATCTTCTAACTGCGCACAGTGCAATATGGCCGAGAAGTGGATTTTTTGTTTGTCAGAGTATAAAAATATATTGATACAGAACTGAAAATTTGCATATTTGGTAATATTAAAATAATTAAATAGAAAAAAAGTTAAAAAAAGGTTATATTCGAAACAGCTTGCACCGAATGGGTTTCCCGACTTTTCCTGATAGTCGGCATCCTAGAGACTGTATTTTTGTTATCCCAAAATAAAAACGAGAAGGAACGTGTGAGTCGCTTCTGGGGACGCGACTCTACTTATACCCGTACTCAGTCAGCATTTACATTTTTGAGCATATAATTATTTAGAATTAAAAAAAAAAAACATTTGACATTTTACATTTTTTTGCTACATCTGTTATCTACATCTACATATACTATGTATATTCTACATCTAACATGTATATTCTACATGTACCATTCATATTCTACATCTCCTCCGCTAGGGGTTGCTCGCGCACTGAACGCGGCAGTGTGCGAGCGAGAAGGAAAATGAGTTGCGTTGTCGTGGGCGGCAGGGGGAGGGGAAGCAACTGAAAATTAATTTCTTCATTCTGGCTATAATTATGATCCGATCTGATTCAGATTCGGCAGTCTGGTAGATATGGTCATTCTCTACGATACTGCGTTATTAGTTTTATCGTATCTTTAAAAGTGTGCCTGCTACAGATTTTCGTCCTTTGTGGCGTCGAAGGTGGCGGGGTGAAATTTTGAAATAGACTTGTAGCAGTGTGATATCACATGAGCCTAGAAACCAAGTTTGGTTGCCCTAGCTCTTATAGTCTCTGAGATCCAGGCGACAAACAAGACGGACAGACAGACATGGCACTATCGACTCGGCTATTGATACTGATCAAGAATATATATACTTTATGGGGTCGGAAACGTTCTCTTCTCTGCGTTGCACACTTCCACGTTTTACCACAAATCTAATTTACCCCTTAACTCTTTTTTGAGTACGGGTATAAAAACGAGGGGGAACATTGTGAGCCGCGACTAAAGCCTCGCCACTACTTTTATACCAGGTACTCAGTAGTCAGTTAGAGTTGAGGTTATTTTATGTTAATATTTTTTTTTTTGCTACATCTGTCATTTGCATATTTCTCTCTTCTCACACCACAGTTTGAAACAAACTTGATTCAATGTGAAGTCACAGGACTTTGCACACAAAATTTGGTTGCTTTAGCTCTTATAGTGTCCGAGATCTAGGCGTCCAACAAGACGGACAGATGGACAGACAAACATGGCTATATCGACTCAGCTATTGACTTAATTATCTTCACGAAAACAAGAATTTTTATACCCGTACTCAAAAAGAGTTAAGGGGTATATTAGATTTGTGATAAAAGTGGATGTGTGTACCGCAGAGAAGGAAACGTTTTCGACCCCATAAAGTATATATATTCTTGATCAGCATCAATAGCCGAGTCGAGTCTGTCTGTCCGTCTGTCCGTCCGTCCGTCTTGTTTGACGCCTGGATCTTAGAGACTATAAAAGCTAGAGGAACCGAATTTTGTTTCCAGACTCATGTGATATCACACTGCTACAAGTGTATTTCAAAATTTTGCCCCGCCGCCTTCCGCCCCGACAAAAGACGAAAATCTGTGGCATGCACCATTTTAAAGATACGATCAAATTTAAAGCGCAGTATCGTAGAGAATGACCATATCTGACAGATTGCCGAATCTGAATTAGATCGGATCATAATAATAGCCAGAATGAAGAAATTAATTTTCTGTTTGTTCTTCCGCCCCCTCCTGTTAGAGACCCGCTACCAATCTCTTTCTCGCTTTCACACTCTGCCGCGTTCAGTGCGCGAGCGCCCTCTAGCGAAAAAGATGTAGAATATAAATGTTACATGTAGAATCTACATGTTAGATGTACATGTATGCACTGTAGATGTAGATAGCAGATGTAGCAAAAAAATGTAATATATATAAAATTTTTTTTTTATTCTAAAATTCTAAAAAATCATGCTCAAAAATGTATATACTGACTGAGTACGGGTATAAGTACAGTCGCGTCTTTTGAAGCGAATCATACGTTCCTTCTTGTGTTTATAATATTTTGGGTTTTTTTTAGTTTTGGTTAATGAATTTTAGCTCGAAAGTTTCTCCATATATTTTAATCAGCAATACCTAATTAATGCACCTATAAACAAAGAAAGAGGACACAGGATATAATTTTTTTTTCGACTTTTCCTGAGTTCCTGCTTGACGGTTTGCCGCACAGTACTTGGGGACTTGGATAGTGGGATCTCTAGTCCAATACCAGGAGTGTCTACACTCAAAACGATTCATTTTTGTTTTATCTGAACCATATAAAGTTATCCCACAAACCAGTCACCAAACCAACTTGAGGTCACCATCACGCACGGTCACGGTTCAATTATGTTTTGGGGGTGTTTTTATAAAAATGGAGTTGGTCCCTTGGTGTTAATTGATGGAGTAGTATGAAAGGAACAATATTTAAGCACTCTGCAACAAATTGGATGCTATGGCATCCACCACAATCTCCCGATACAAATCTTATTTAAAAATGTATTGAGCCATCTAATATCGCAGCTGGGGAAATATGCGGTCTCTCCAAGTGCAATGATGGAGTTGTGGGAGAGGAAAACGATTTATGGTATGCTATTCCCCATGCAATGGTGCAACGCTACATCCGCAAAATGGCAAATCGCATAGGAAAACTAAAACAATTAAAAGGGCTGTGGACACATTATTAAAAAATTATTAATAAAAATATTTGCCTTAAATATAGCCGCAGTGGCATATTTCTTTCGGCGTATCAAAACTTCAAATTTTCAAAAAACCTAGTTAAATGATTCACCAACAAAACAAGATCTTTAGCATGCCTAAAACAGAAGATAAGATACAGATCGTTGAAGCGAGAGTACTGAATTAGTGTTACAGTGTTGCTCGTCAGTGTATTAGGTACTAGGTGGCTAGTACTTACTCTTACTCTTACGAATACCGGAGCACGTATAAACGAATCCAAGGTAACAAAACTAGGGGGTGGAAATCCTTTTGGATTTGGAAAAAAAATGTTTGTCCCAGCCTAATATACATATATATTATATATATATATTATTATATAGTATATATTATATTATATATATATATATTGTTATATATTACATATATGTATATATTTAACAAAAAATTGTAATCAAGAAAATTCAAACAACATTTTTTTGTTGAATGAGTTGGATAATTGGTGAAATCTATTGCATTAATACCATTCATATCGTCACTAATCAGTTTTTGGCGGTAAAAAACCTGTTCAAGTTTTTGCGAACAAGTTAACTAAATATATCATCCTCAGCTGAACTTCTTGATTTTCGCCAATCGTTAATTTTTTAGCATATTTTTTTTAACTAAAAAAAAAAAAATCTTATTATCAATATGAAATAGTTTCTAAGTTTCAATATTATTTGAAAAAACCGACGAATTAAATTTTTTTTAATGTATATTTTGAGCTAGCGAGCTTTTTCACTAGCTGTTGAATTTAGATTAAATTAAGAAGTCGAGCGACTCAATATACTTAATGTGTGTACAGTTTTTCTTGTTAAGTAGGCGAAATATGTGGTGTGCAGGTGTAGCGAAAGTAAAATCGAGATGTACCGGTTGATCAAATCAAAGCGATGAATTGATGACGCAGGGTCTGTTCAATATGCGAGAAAAGTGAGTGATAGATCAAGACGGTAGAGTGCGATAATGATGACGATCAATTAAAGACTGACGAAGGGCAGGCTGGCCGAATTGCCCGTGCCCTAATGCAAGCGAGAGAGAGAGCAAAAGAAGCGATAGAAGCTCGGGCTGCTGCTGAGCCGAGTACGAGCGATAGATAGAGAGAAAGAATGCGAGAGAGCAGCATAGATGAAGAGAACGATAGCGAAGGCGAACAAAAGCTGGTAAATTTGTTGGTCAAATTTTGGCCCAGCCTAATATATATAATATAAAAAAATAAATATATAGAAATCTTTTGACCAAAATTGGTATATTTTCGCCAACGCTTTTGGCAGTTCTATTATAAAGCAATATATAGCATATAAGCAGATAGAAAATTTAAGAATTCAGCAAAAATCATAAGCTCACTGATATACTGAATGAGTACGGTTATAAAAGTAGAGTCGCGGCAACAGCAGTGACACAATGTTCCCCACTCGTTTTTAATTAAATTGAATATTATTATATATTTAACACTTAATTTTTCTCTCTTACAGAATTTTTGCATAACCAACGGAAAAGTACAAACGTTTCCACGTTTACTATTTCAAATGCTTAAACACTGAAATACTACCACAAATAAATTTCTTCAGAATTCTTTGTGGCAAATCACAATAACTAAATATATTTCAGCACTTAATAGAAACATTAAATAACTGCGATTGGTTTGACATTGATTTGTACTTATGTATACCAAGTCATCCTGCAAGTGACTTTCTAAAGGGATATCGAGCTCAATTACTTACGTGTTTTATTCGTGAGCTGGCATTCCGCACCCCAAGGAGGGGAAAGACAATATCTTATATGACTTTTGAACGATTAAGTGGTAAGTTTTAAAGTGAATTGAAGAATGTGTTCGATTGATTTTTTGATTTTATGGTAAATACACTATAAATGACATGGTACTTGGACTTGTTACCAATTTTATTTTATATTCGAATTTTAATAACCCACGAGTAACGACCGCTTTAAAATATTAACACTTGTATATTCGCGTTGATTTCACTACTTGACAAAATCGAACTTTTTATTTACGCTTCAAATAAAGCCGACTTTTTCTGATGACTTTTTCTTTAATTTTGTTTTAAAGAACTATGGTTTTTTTCTATGGGAGGTTCGGAAATAAGAACCGGAAATTTTATTGCATTGACGAATCTGAAATTAGAACCTCTCGTTCTAATTTCTGGAAGAATTTCCTTAATACATGCACTGTTTTGCCTCTTCGGTTGACTTAAAAATAAAAATGGTAGTCGCCGAGTTATTCGTGGTGTGTACAATTCGGTCATGTGCATATGTAATTTTATTCGCTTGTAGAAACTTGTGTTAGTTGGTGGTCAAAGTGATCAAAGGTCAAAGCGAAAATTAAAAAACTAAAATTAAAAATTAAAAAAAAAAATCAAAAATAGTTTTATGTTAAAATAATTCTTGCGTAACTAGCTTTTATCATTTTGTGTGCAAAAAAAATATTTTCAGATATCATAATCACCTTAGGAACAAAGTGGTTCTAATTTCCGAGCTTCCACTGTATTTTATTTCAATGCTTTCAGAGGTAGCGCTTCTTTTTATCACATACACTTATGGACAAAATAATAGGTGTGCTTTTTTTTCTTTTTCAACTTTTAATTTCTAGTTCATATCTTCTCTAATCTCAACAAATCAAAGTGTTTTCAAATCTTATATTAATTGTCTTTAAAGAAAAAGTAAAAACAGTTTCACAAACCCTTTAATTTACAAGAAAATTAAATATCTCCTTAAATCCGTCAATTTTGGCTGGACATGTTTAAATGTTTAAATTATATTTTAGGTCCTGTTTTATATTAAATTGAGTGTCTGGCAGCTAATACCCGGTATATCCGCCATTATTTTGCAGGGATTTCTCCATTCGTCTTGGCATGGAGGATATTAACTTGCGACAAGTTCTAATTGGAATGTTGTACCTCCTCTTTGGACAATATCCCAAAGTTGATTTTTATTTTGTCAAAAAGTCTTTCCGACCTCTCTTTTGAGTTCACTCCAGAGATTCTCGATTAGATTTAGGTCCGGGGATTGACTTGGCCACCCAAGAACATCCACACTTTGCTCTCGGAACCAATCCTTTACTACTCGAGAGGCGTGCTTCGGGTCATTATCCTGCTGGAACTTCCATAAAAGTGGCATATTATTCTCGGCATATGGTAGCATCACCGTATCCAATAGATCTTTGTATACGAATCTGTCCCATATTCCGTCAATACGATGAATTGGACCAACACCATACCATGAAAAGCAGCCTCATACCATTAGGCTACCACCTTCATATTTCAAAGTTTTACATGTGTACCTGGGATCAAATTCTTTGCCTTTTGGACGACGAACATTCCTTTTCGCATCATTTCCAAATAAATTGATCTTGGTTTCGTCGCTCCAGAGGATATTAAGCTATTTTTTCTCACCCTCCGGTCCGCACCAGGCTATACGATCTAGTGCAAATTTTTTCTCCATCTGTAATTTTGCCGAACAAAGCAAAGGAACCCTGCGAGCAATCCTACCTGGTAGGTTTGCTATTGCCAATCGTCGCCGAACGGTCCGTGATGACACAATATTCCCAATTTCGTTGGCAATCGTCCTGGAGGACTTGAACGGGTCGCATTTAACCAACTGAACCATGCGATCGTCGGGTTTAGATAATGATTTTCTGGGTGCTCCCCTAGTTTCACCTATTTTTTTCGATTTTATGGCATTGGTTACGTTTTGAGATCGTTTCATTAACCTGGCAATGGATTTATAAGTTTTACCCTCATTTCGGAGTCGTCGAATGAGCCTTCTCTCCTCCACACTGCAGTGACGACCACGGCCTATCTTATACAATTTTAATGGTTGCTAAGTCAATATTTAGTTATATTTTCCTAATACTTTACCTTCTGCAACCAAATAGTTATCTTAATAAGCTACAGGTTGCGTCATACACCTATTATTGTGTCCTGCCAAAATTTACCGATTTAGGGAAATATTTAAATTTCTTGTAAATTAAAGGGTTTGTGAAACTGTTTTTACTTTTTATACCCGTACTCAAAAAAGAGTTAAGGGGTATATTAGATTTGTGGTAGAAGTGGATGTGTGTAACGCAGAGAAGGAAACGTTTCCGACCCCATAAAGTATAGATATTCTTGATCAGCATCAATAGCCGAGTCGATATAGCCATGTCTGTCTGTCCGTCTGTCTGTCTGTCTGTCTCGATGAGCTAGGGCAACCAAATTTGGTTTCCAGACTCATGTGATATCCCACTGCTACACGTGTATTTCAAAATTCCGCCCCGCCCCCTTCCGCCCCCACAAAGGACGAAAATCTGTGTCAAGCACATTTTTAAAGATGCGATGAAACTAAAAAACGCAGTATCGTAGAGAATGCCCATATCTACCAGACTGCCGAATCTGAATCAGATCTGATCATAATTATAGCCAGAATAAAGAAATTAATTTTCAGTTGCTTCCCCTGCCCCCTCCTACCAACTACACTACTCGACAAAACCGAACTTTTTTTTTCCTCAAGGATCCAAACCGACTTTTTCTGATAGATATGGGGCTTTAAAATTTTTTAAAGAATTATGGTTTTTTTTCTATGGCAGAACTTTTTTTTGAAGAATTTTTGAAGTCTGGTATTTTTTTTTTAAGCTTTTTTCAGACGTAGCGATAGTTTTTTTCACATAACTTTAATATCTTACGTCTGGTTGTACAGAACTTTGCTATTTTGAAAAGGTAATTAAAACAGCTAGAAGTTGAGCCTAAATACTTTGCGATTTCAGCTTACCGTCTGGGAAATATAAAGCATTGAAATGCAAAAATGATGATTTTTGTGCGGTATTTTTTACGAAATTTTGACTTTAAAAACTCAGGAAAAGTCGAAAAAAATTATATCTTGTGTTCTCTATTTTTTTGTGTATAGGTGCGTTAATTTGGCGTCCTTTAAGGTATCGCTCATTAAAATCTATGGAGAGACTTTGGAGCTAAAAATTCAACGTGAAGACAACTTAAAGCGCGTGCAATGGGAAAAAAACTATCGCTACCTCTGAAAAAAAGCTAAAATAAAAAAAATACCAGTTTTCAAAAATTTTTCAAAAAAAAGTTCTGCCATAAAAAAAAAAAAAAATTTCTAAGCCCCAAATCTTTAATAAAAAGTTGGTTTTGTTCCTTGAGGAAAAATCGTGTTGACTAGTGTTATCTTTTCAAAATAGCAAAGTTCTTTACAACCAGACGTAAGATACTAGAGCTATGTGAAAAAAACAAGCGCTACCTCTGAAAAAAGCTTTAAAAAAAAATACCAGTTTTCAAAAATTCTTCAAAAAAAAGTTCTGCCATAGAAAAAAAAAAATATCATCAAACCATTTCTAAGCCCCAAATCTTTAAGAAAAATTTCGTTTTGTTCCTTGAGGAAAAATCGTGTTGACTAGTGCTACCAGGCAACTAATTTTCCTTCTCGCTCGCACACTCTGCCGCGTTCAGTGCACGAGCAACCCCTAGCGGAGGAGATGTAGAATATAAATGGTACATGTATAATCTACATGTTAGATGTAGAATATACATAATATATGTAGATGTAGATGTAGATAACAGATGTAGCAAAAAAATGTAAAATTTTTTTTTTTAATTTTAAAGTTCTGAAAAATCATATGCTCAAAAATGTATATGCTGACTGAGTACGTAGAGTCGCGTCCCCAGAAGCGACTCGCACGTTCCTTCTCGTTCTTAATATAATTAATAATTAATAAAAATTAATATAAGATTTGAAAAAACTTTGATTTGTTGAGATTAGAGAAGATATGAACTAGAAATTAAAAGTTGAAAAAAAAAGGACACCTATTTTTTTGTTCATAAGTGTAACTTAAGTATTTTCCATCTGGTTGTAATGAACATTATAAAAAGCTGATATTAAGCGTTCAAATGCAAAAATGATCATTATTGTGCGAAGTTTCTCTGAAAATTTTCGGTTATTAAAAACTCCTGAATAGTCGAAAAAATATATATCCTGTGCCCTTATATTTTTTGTGTATTGGTGCATTAATTAGTCGTCGTTTAATGCATTGTTCATAAATATCTATAGCTAATCGGCTGGGCTAAACTTGGTTGACCAACCCTACAAAAAATCGAATTTTAGCGTTTGGAGCGTTGCTGCCCTAACGTCGCGGGCCATTTCATAATTTTTACTCAGACTCTGCAGCGCAGATATCCACAAAAAATAATAGGTTAAGAAAATGTTACCACCTTTCACAGGATATTTGATTCGTGGTGATAGAATAGATATACATACGAGGGCGGATCAATAAGTCCGTGAACTTTTGGTTTAAAAACAGATTATTGGATAAACAAACATTTTATTTTTCAACATCTCCAATTTTTGTATCATTTCCAAAAAAAAAAAGATTTGTCGAGGTTCTTAAAATAGAAATTTTTTGAGAGATGACATCATCATTGGACTCAAATTCCTTTCCGCCGAGTAATTTTTTCAGGTTTGGAAACAAAAGATAGTCACTAGGTACTAAATCAAGAGAATGGGGTTTGTGAAGGAGAAATTCGTAGCCCAAATCATGGATAAATAAAATAGCTTTTTTCTTGGCCAAGTGCTGTCTTTTCTTTTTCAAATCCTCGCATTAAATCGATCCAATATTTTTTCATAATATTCGCGATTGTCTCTTTTACCCTTTCTGAAGAGAATCAATGTGGTTAATACCGAGAGCATTCCAAACGAGAAGGAATTTAATTAATGAATTAAATTTGTTTTCGCTTCTTTGGACGCGACTTTACTTTTATACCCGTACTCGTAATTTCTTCATTCTGGCTATAAAATTGATCC